ATCTCACAACGCCACGTGCATCTGATCACACCACGTGCATCTCACCACGCCACGTGCACTTGACACCTCGTCATCACCTCGTGCTCTGGGTCTATACTTTCAAAAAAGTTAAGAGATCGTACGTTCATCAGCCAATCATTGACGGCTTATCAAGCAAAATACACCAATCGTAGACAAGAAAATAGAGCGTAAGCTTACGTTCACTTAGCGAGTTTTGCAAGTATATGGCCCCTGGTCTCCAAGTTCGTCCCGGGACGAACATCATCGAGCAGGTTACGTGAGCTAAGAATAAATACTGATAATATTAAATTTGTTGACGTTAACCGACTAATTACATTATGTCGCACCAGTTAATATCAACATGTTCCTGTTAGCATAACTACCCCTTAAACAGAGTAAACTGGAAACGGTCGGGTGCTAGCCCCACAGTTGCTTATCACCCAATCAGAAGCTCGCTTGCATCATTTGTTTACGTTATGAGTCTGACATGATGTCACGCTTGTGTGCTCAGTTATTTAAACATTTTTAGCATTTATTGAAGAATTCTAGACGCTTTTACTCTAAAATTTCTACGAAAAATGCCTTTTTAAGATAGCAAGACAATTAATTAATGATTAATATGACATAATGAACGACGAGAGTGAAATTTTTATGAATTCGATTTCATGTTAATCTATTCATTGTTTAACTCCACCAATTAGTATCGTTTTCTATTAGGACATATACTAAGAAAAAAAGACATTAGATGCGCGACTACTATAGTTACTTAAAAATAAAAATAAAGTCTGAATAAAATGAAGAGGATTTACCTTAAAATGCTACTACAGTCTAGAAACTAGTAAAGTCTAGACACTAGTTACCAAATGATTATACCAATCGATTAACCCACTCAAAAGTTGTGCACAAAAAAATCTAAATAAAATTTAGAGGATTTACCTTAAAATGCTACTACAGACTAGACACTAGTAAAGTCTAGACACTAGTTACCAAATGATTACCAATCGATTCACCCACTCAAAAGTTGTGCACTTAGCGGACTTACACAGACGTTCTGCGCACTTACCTGACCTAAGTCGCCATGAACATCGAGCGATGTTTTGGAAGTACGGCCCGTGATTACCAACTTGTGCATGTGATTATCAACTTAAGCTGTAATGTGGGCATAAGTTACTTTTCGAACAAATTGCAGATGTGTTGTCTGCACTATACAATCCTGTTGCAACATGAAAATTCATTTGGTTCTTTCTGCACGTTCTGTATAATTCAGTCGTTGATATGAAAATGTCTTCGATGTGAAAATCACTCTAAGTTATGAATCCTATATATGATTGACCTAAGGAAGCAACCACGTTACAGATTGGAAAAACGTTCTATGAATTATACTGGATTTGAATTGAATTATCAGTAATTAAACTTATGTTATCAACAGCAAATAGTGCTTTCTCACTTACCCGACCAAAAACTCATTTACCTCTAATGTTGAAAGATGAAAGAAAATTCCAGCATGTAGAATTATGAGAAATTTTCTCTGACAGTCATTACAAATATTATACCCGCAATTTGATACATCGCATTTCTTTATAAGGATGCAAGAAGTGAAAAAATAGAGAGATAATGTGCTACCACGAATGAGCAATTATTTATCTATAGGATCTGTGGTTTTGGGATGTGATAAATTCTAGAATAAATATAACTATCATTTTGCACAACGATTTGAATTGCGATTTCACACAACACCGCATAAAATTCATCCTCTTAATCTTTACGAAGAACTTCAATATTTTTCAGAATTTGTCTCTAAATAGTTTTAAATTTACTTTGTCGTTAAGCTTACAACTACACCGGATCAACATTCTAATCACCTTGTAACCTTGAACGATGTGAGGTTTGGATTAGAATTCGTCGTTATGTATCATAGTTCGACCAGGTTGTGTGTGTTGATTATACTGAACATGCTCCAGTATTTCAAATTTACTTAGCATTTATATTTAGTATATTTACTTAGACTAAATTCGTCAGTCATGAAAAAATACGGTCAAATGACACGATTTTAGATCTTCTGTGAACAAGGCACGAAAAGGAAAAGAATCGGCGACAGGCCACATCAGGCCTACACTGCAGCGCCGACATCACTATGTTATGTTATGTATTGATAAGTTAGTATGAGGGTTAATTCAACTCAAACAATGTTCATTGATGAACCTCTCAGCGTGCGTGTAGTCATGAAAAATATAGTGTTGTCATGCCAACATATCGCATTCTGTATCGTAGCCAGGTTCCTTTGTTTTACCACAAGAATTCTCGACCAATCAGAACAAAGGCCGCTTACTCGCAGTCAAGTCATCAATTTTTGGCATTTGAGCTGCTGCCACGTTCCAGACTCATGGTGGTCTTATTGTGGATACATATGTATAATATGTAGTGTACACAATGTTGGGTTTTGAATGTGGAGAAAATGTGATGGCACCATATAACCAAACGTGAAATTTGTGCATTGACAGTCGATCGCATGTGATGTACTTTTGGATTGATTTAACCCTTTAGTTGACAAGTTTTTAAATACATGAACATTAAAATGCTCGATGATGGCTTAAAACTTGTCATATTTTCTAGTGCTAGTGGCCACGTGATGATGATGATGGCTTAAACTTGTCATATTTTCTAGTGCTAGAGGCCAAAATGAAAAGCTTTGAAACGAATTTCTACGAACATTCTATAACAGGTTAAAGGCACGTTTTATTTCGAATTAATCAGTTGGTGCTGTTAATATAATTGTTTCCAGTGATAAAGTGAAATTAGGAGATGCAAAGTCATTTAAAGTCTAATAACTTTACACACATGTCATTTGTGGAAAATATTCGCCATAATATTTATCGACTCCTCTATTTTAAATAAACTGGTTGGTCACTATTCAAATTTTGCAGCGTTGAGCACAGAGCAACAACACTAGCAATACAATGTGGGATCTTGGGAAATCCGGAAAAAAACTTTTTGCTTTCGCGAAGTTGAATAAGCCGATTATAATTTTTTCCAGGGTTATTATATCAGGTATTTTGTATTAGTGTCATTATACAATCCAAAGCAAATTCTTATAATAGACAACATGAAGACCAAACTTCTGATGACCGTCTTCGGAGCAGCGCAAGCGGCGATGTATGCGCGGGTTCCCAACGACAACGCGACGTTCATCAACGATTGTTTCTCAGGCTGTAGCGCTCCACGCACTGCTTTCTTCGCTAACCTTGTATTGTGCTCATTGTTCTGTCAGAAGATTGGCTGCGATCTCTTCAGCTACGAAAATGGTTAGTGAAGGGAATAATATGATGTTATGGGAATATTTTCAATTTTGTAAGAGAATAAATGTTTGATCTATTATTATGAAGAGATTCCCTGAGCACGGCGATGGTGCCTACATGGTGAATAAAGCGCGGGTAATTCCGACTTTAAGGGTAGGTAATTCCGATTTTATATTATAATATTTTACATAGCTTGTGTGCAGGGGTTGAGAAGACTAGGAATGTCTATTGAAGCGATGTAGATTGAGTAAAACGCGGTTGTTTCGTGGTCGTAGGACCGGGTGTTGTTTACATTGATCGTTAGCAAGCCTGTCGCGATGGGAATTCCATCAGTTAAAGTTTTCTGGCGTCACTTGGAGGGGTGGGCTTAACTGTGCGCGACGTCTGCCTATATAAGGACCCTGAAAATTCAAAAAGTCGTTCTACTGGTTGTTCTACTGTGGTGACAGTCATGCCAGTACGGTCTGCAGCTATCCTGCAGACGTAGGTGACGGCCACGGCCGGCGGAGTAAAAAATAACGTCCGCGCAGAACTCCGAGACGTTCATACCACCACGACTCCGATATAATAACTTCAGAAATCTACGAATAACGGCCTTACTCTACTTATTTGTACGATCAACGTTCATTGCTACGGTTGTGCCTTGGCCGTGAGACAACGCGAGAGGCCAGGAGACGTTCAACGGTTATAATGCCGGTAATCAGAAAATTCAAGTTATCGAGCACTGAACAACAATTCTCATCGGTACGGTCATCCGCACAGTACGGTCACAATTCTCATCAGAAGAACTAAGAGATGCGGTCACGATCAGCCACAGCAGAAGTAGGGTAACGAGCTTGGAGTATCATCATCGACTATGAAGATGAACGTCACTATTTATATGCACGGTCGTTATAAGAAACCTACGGTCAGGCTGACCGTGAGACATCTATATCAGCAAGACACTACAGCTATGGAGAAAAAGGCGACTGCGGGGACGCGCGGCAACAGCTGCGGTGCGGCCGCTGGTAATACGGCCGCTGGTAATACGGCCGCAAACGTGTGCGTGAATTACGATCGTTTACGACAGTCGTGCTACTCAACGGAACTGCGATGGATCAAAGTTTCTGGTAATAGAGGAGTTAAGTTTGAGTGATGCTAACTGATAGTTTCTCAATTTTGATTGTGTTCGAACTTCCTTTTTCATATAATAGAGATTTTTATCAACATAGGATGTGAATTTGAATTCTCAATTTAATATGAAATGTACCGGTGTTTCATTACAACTTTCTCTCTGTATGATTTTTTATGTAACCTATTCATCCGAGAACTAACATACGTGCCTAACGTAAGCCACTGCGGAAACCAACCTGACAGAATTATTTCAATTGACGATCGAAGAATTAAACCCAAATTCTTCAATTTCGTTATAAATTTCCATAACCATCGAGGAAAACTCACTCTCTAATCAATGGGATAGAGTGTGTTCAACTAAATTTATGTGCCTGAATAGGCCCATCTGTATATCAAGCGGCTGTGAATTATACGAATACATTTTAAATCAACTTGAGAGTGAATAGAAGCGAAATATCTACATCGAATTTGAAGTTTCGAGAGTTTTTGGAAGGTGGTAATGAGTAGAAGTGATACATATAATATACTATATTAATGAGATGACAGCAATAGATGAGATCCTGCTCACCATTGACATAACTATCTTTGAGTTAGATTTATTCACAAGTACCTATAGTTTTCTATCGCTGGTACTAATTTTTTTCTATCTATAGTTTTATTAAAGCTGTTGATTGAAGTGATGGTGAAGCCAGGTCCACAATTGTTTAGAATGGAGATACGGTGAATTTAATTTTTGTTTTATGCGATTTTATTTTCATGTTTAATTTGCGGTTTAAGCAAGCTAATGATATAGGTGCTCGTTTACTTGCGCTGGTGATTGAGGAAAATATTTTTAATACTTTTCAACTCCATAATATAGGTACTTATCTCGAGGACACTCATAAGCCTAAGCATGAACTTTTGATGTGCAAAGTAAAATATGTCCCCTAAAGTGGTAATTTTTTATTTATTTCAACTGTTTTAATGTCGCATTTAGAGTGTTAGCGAGCATTACCTATATTAAAAATGGCCTTCCGAGATTAATTTGCGACTCCGATTCCTCGAGCTCTGAAATTGTTGCTCACTTGAGCTTCAATCCAAGTCCCAACTTGATTAACCTTTATTTTCTGGTCTATGGTAAAATAAATAACCATGGATTTGCGCAGAAATTACCAAGATGTCCCACTCTAGGATGTGACATGTTGGAATGCTTAATAAAAATCTCAAACAAGTGCCAGGGTCTGAAGCGGAATATTTGTTTTAGTCGCTATGAAAAATTTCCCGTGTAAACAATGTACCTTTTTTGGGCGTTCCTGCATTCCTACCTGATTTGTCGCTCAAGCAGATATGAAGCATTTCATTTATAAAGCTATGCAGATATGAAGTATTTATGAAGTTAGACAGATATGAAGATTTTATGATGCTATGCAGATATGAAGCATTTATGAAGCTTTACAGGTATGAATAATTATTGAAGCTATGCATATACGAAGCATTTATGAAGCTGTACAGATATGAATCACTTATGCAAATATGAAGCATTTATGAAGCTATGCAGAAACTGATGTTTCGACTAGAAGCGTCTCCCACCTCATAAATTGGTGGATTTTCGGCACCTACTTAGCTTCAACGTCAGTTTTGAATTAATCTGGTCAAAAAACTACTTCTCAGCTCCAAGAGATTAGTCAAAAGGCTACTCCTCAGCTCCAAGAAATAAGTCAAAGCATTATCAGAATCGGCGACAGGATAATATGGCCTTAATTTTATCGCCGATTTTTCTATGAATGGCTGCCATATGGCCTTTTCCGCGATTTCGTTTTTTTTCAATTAAGTTGTCTGACAAAAATTTATGGAGCGCGTGCCGGAGGCCAACTTCGCCCAACTTCACATCTTAATCATATTCCTTTCTGTATGTAAGAACACTAGAGTGAATAGCAGCCTATAAAGTTTAGTTCTTAAAGCCACACTGCCGCGTATGTCCACAGCCAAGGCTTAATTAAGCATGCCCAAGTTAAGACTGCATACTGCATCTGGACAAACCTATTCCCGCCTTAACTATTCTGGCCTAACCTACACACGTTGCAACATTTCTCCACCCAAAACGAACTTGAACGGACCTTACCTAACCTCATTGGCTGCTGGATGCTAGAGAGGAGGGGCAAGTGTGAAGGTAGTGCCTGTAATTGGCTGAAACCGGCCATATTATCAAAACTTCATAAGTACGCAAAATTGACTTACGAGTAGCGTAAGTGATGATATGATGACGTAACTTGGCTGAACGAAGGTTGTGAGTCGGGGCAGCATGAATAGGTCAGGCCAGAAGAGGTAGGCTATAGTTGGTGATGTCGGATGCAGAACTGCCTGCTTATGAGCGAGCAAGCTTAAGTTTTGGCTGAAGACCTAGGGCGCTATTATCTTTAAGCAGTGTTTTACTGGTGCGGATTATGATATGTCAGCGTAGACTGCGGCTTTCAACTCTGAGGCTGGGAAAAATATTGCATGATTAGGCTGAGCGTTGGCTCCATGGCTTATTCAATAGTTAAATTTGTTATTCACGATTGCGTCCCCGAATTTATGATGGTGGTATTTCGTTATTATATTTTACAAATGCAATAAAAATCGTATTTGATCCTTAACATGTGGGTCTTTTTTGCACCTGAATTGTGCGCCTTTTTTGGATCTGAACTTTTTAGGCCATCTGGCAACCCTGTTTCTACGCTATGAAATGCCTTCTGTGGTGAAATATTCATCTTATTTAACCAGGTGAGTGCCGGTCTGCCACGGCCGCCATGCCTACGAACGTCACCGCCGTTTTCAAGCCGAGGGTCAGCAGGGGCAGCAGGGAGGTGGCGCGGGGCAAACGCGTCTCAGCAACGCCTCAATATTCGCTATTGTGAGAAATTTAAATGTAAACATACTGAAATTAAAGGCACTTTACTTTAATTAACGTTAAATTAAGTAGTAAAACTAAAATGTTTACGCTCAATTTCCCTTTTAAAAGCATAGAATTGTGAATTGATAGATGACGTGAATTCCTTCAAATGCGGCAACTAATAATTAGTTTTTTTTTATTATACAAATTTATACAACAAAATTCTAACCTTCAGCCTTTATTTTCAGTTATGCAGAACAATTGGTTGATGGAGATAACAGCACCTTTTATCAGAACATAAATGTACCCAACGCCTGGATCATGGTGGACCTGGGAGCTTGTTTTCCAGTCAGCAAAGTTCGTCTGCTGCCCAACGCTTTGACTCACTACTACCGATTCGTAGATACTCAGGTGCTGGGGCGTTAGAAAGCATAAAGCTTAATTTTAATAACTTCATTTTGACGTATGGTTTGTGATGTGAGCACGAAAAAAATTCGTAACACCATAGCTACTATTTACCTTGAAACTGGACAAATATACTACAGATAAAGAAATTTCCTTGTCCAAAACATAGAAAACGCAAAATGCAAGTGAATATATGAACTAATTGAACTCTACTTTATCATGAATGCTCTAACGGGAGATCGGACAGTTGTGTGGGAATCAACTATAACAAGCCGTCCGAACATAAAGATCAGTCAATTAATCTCTGTACAATCTAGTAATTCTACTAGCGCTGTCCTGGGGCCATACTTTCAAAACTCGCTAAGTGAACGTAAGTACTTACGTTCTATTCTCTTGTCTATGATTGGTGGATTTTGCTTGAAAGGCCGTCAATGATTAGCTGATGAACTTACGATCTCTTGACTTTTTTTAAAGTATGGGCCCTGGTCATGTAGTCGCTTGAGACGTAAGGCATGAGCGGTCAAAGCTCATTAGATAGTTTTCATAATTCGTATTTAACGGCAACTTTATATTCGCGTAACATGAACTTGCTGTACACCTCATCCGCTTACCGGAGAGGTTACACTTTGCCACACTACACATTTTAAATTTCTCGGACAACTGAAATTTAGAGAACACCTCTTTCTCTGCAAACTGATCCGACAAGAAGAATGTACAACTGAAAAAAAATGAAGATCGAGACTAAACTTTGGTCGGTTCAATCACATTTTCATGAAATCAAAAAGGAATATTTCACCGCAATGAGGAAACGAAGTAAACCTCCTGAATATGGAATCTGTAGACTTTACTAAATAAGCACAGACTAGAACTTATCTCTAAATTCGGGAAGGCAGAAAATTTACACAAATTTATTCGAACGTCAATAATTTTAATTTCCAGATGTAGCCTGATTCAAATAGCATGTTATTTGACAATTTCCCTTCACCTATTCCTCATGCCGAAATTAAAATAGACACAAACGAGAAAATTTGCAAGGTCAACATTTGCAAGGCCAATCCTAATACTCGTTCGTTTACAAGTGCTGCATCATTTGCAAATAAAACAATACGCCTTATTAAAGACTGAGAGCGCTGAACCACCAGATGTGCTGTATTACTATCGTAGCTATTCTCAACTTTCATCCGAGCGCAGTTGGCATAACGTTTATTAAAAAAGCCTAGCAAATTCACCATATCGATATTGTAATCGTTCTGGAGTCCAGCTCCATCATCAATTCAACAATTTAAAATAATAACACGATCATTCTGTAATTCAAAATTCATAGTCAGACATTAAAACTAAAGCCATAAAACACAAAACCTTAAATCGCAAACAAGCAATAGCGGAACAAAGGTTCATAGGAGACATGAAAAGATAAAAACCCAAGAAAAAAACACTAACATAGAAGCATAGCAATTCACCATTTCAAGAGAATAAGAACTGAACGCATTATTGAGACACGGTTTTCGTTTGAAGATATGTAGTGACTCCAAAATTCCCAAATCCGAACTGCCAGAGATGGAACCGAGTATCCTGAAATCGCCCTCAGATACAGCCACGTCGCAATGTTCAGCGTGGAGGTGCACCGAAAAATGAGGCTTGCAGATAAGCAAGTTCGAATAATAGCTCCTGCCGCGAAGTTCAAAAACCCGGATGTAGAAGTTTCGCGACGTCTATCCAACGTACGCCGATGCGCAGCGCGCACAACTATACTCATAGACCAGGTTCGATCGCATCCGGGTAGGAATAATGTCCTTATACCTGAGAAAAAAAGAATAAAATTTGAAATTTTTACCAGCAAAACATGCAAATTAGTATCCGGGAAATATTTCATAATCGAAATCTTCAGTTCTGTGGACATAGCTCCAGAAGCACTACCAAAATAGGGCAATGTGCAATAAATAATTTTCTTTGAATCTCGTTCAGTCACATTTTAGATAATTTGTTAGTTAAGAAGCGTTTGATTTTACTAAGCACACGGCACGATGGAAAACCATTCAGCTGAATTATATTACGTATGAATTCAAATTCCGAATGCAAATCGTGGAAGGTGGAACAAACCCTATAGCCTCTGAGATAGGGCTAGTAACTTCAACTAATATTGAAGGATCCGAGAGGAGAGTAAGCATATTGCTGGTGTATCGGTTACGGTCAACCAGAACCACGCAGCTACCATTATCAGGCTTGCAAATAATCAGATCCTTGATCATGGCTAAGTCCCTCAAAAGACTGAAGTAACGAGGTTGAAAAACAGACGTTAAATTTTGTATGATTTTAAACCCAAGTGACGTTACGCTAAGCTTTGAATATTGCCAAGAAATTCAAGGCGGTTAGACTTGGCAACATTCTTCATGTTCATAGCAAGACTTTCTAAGGCTAAAAAATTTGAAATAACATAACATAGTGATCTCGGTGCTGAAATGTAGGCCTGATGAGGCCTGTCGTCGATTTTTTTCCTTTTCGTGCCTTGTTCACAGAAGATCTAAAACCGTGTCATTTGACCGTATCTTTTCATGACTGACGATAGTTTGAAATAGCTACTAGACTTCCACCGGGTTCAATATGGTGCTAGGCATTTCAAATCTGAACATTTATTTTTCCATAGCTTTATCTAGGTTTGTTCTTGAACGCGTTCATACTTGGAGCGCCAATTAACGATGTCATCGGGGAGGCTGTTCCACATGTCGGTGATTCGAAGCGAGAAGAAATTTTGTCGCGTGGAGAAGTTGCAACGCAGTTTTTTTAGTTTATAGCCGTGGCCCTTGGTGTTGATTCTTGTTTCAAGTTCTAGTAATCCTTCGGGGACCTTGTATAGACCATGAGTATACTTGTATACTTTAATGAGGTCCCCACGCAGACGTCGATAACTGAGGCTTGGAAGCTCATAATCTTCAATCTTTCTTCATAGAACTTGCCCTTCAAGCCTGAAATTATCCTTATTGCACGTCTTTGAACATTCTCTAGTAAATATATGTCCTTTTCAAATCTCGGTGACCACACAACGTTTCCAAACTCTAGTTTGAATGTTTGAAATGGTCTAGTTTGAAAACAGGAAGACGAATATCAAGGCCAAACGCAAGCAAAAACTTATCGGGGGTTCAATACTGCAAGAACTATAGTTGAAAGCCACTTTATCAGGATCACAGAGCTGAATCTCGTCGTGTATACCAAGATCAGTCAGTTTTTTTATGTGGGTTTGTCTAGTTATCATGAAAGTTTCGATTAACGCCCGGTATGCCGTCGGACCTCAAAAGCGTCCACGGTGGAGAGTAAGTGCCTGACTTTTTCAATAAGCCCTAGGCTAAGGCGAACTTTGCGACACTCGTAGGTCAAAGAGTTTTATTGAAGAGTCTTGTGAAACCATAGTTTCTGCACATATGACATGGGAAATGTTAACCATCTACTATAAATTGAGACATAAGCAAAACAGTTGTAAGCAAAACAGTTGTAAGCAAAACAGTTGTAAGCAAAATTATTGCTAAGTGAACCACGAGAAAATCATATCAAAGTAATTTTTGAACGACTTATAAGTTGCTGCACTAAGCTAACTCACCGAAATGCTTCTCCACCAAGACATATAAGAACTGCAACTGACAAACTAATTTACAGATAAACTTCGGGCGGATGACTCACGTTCTGAACAAAAGGACCACGCGAAGCGTATACATGTGGACGTGGTTGTCGTGGCTGACATAGAGCTTACATACTGCTCCAAACTCCTCCTCTGCTTCTGTAGCTTTGTCTAGCGAGCCCTTGCCTCTAGACGTTTGTAGTCTGTTAGGTTAGCTGGCGAAGGGACGCGCTACAGTTTTGTCTTGGCTTTCTGGCGTACGGAGACAAAACTTGGCTTTCCGGCGTACGGAGACTGCCTTGGCTCATTCTTCATCCCACTAGGGTGTGGACAAGCGGTGATGACGTCTCCTCGTGGATTGTGGAATGGCTGCTGCTGCTGCTGCGGAGATCCTTTCAGTAATCTGACGGCACATTTCTTCCGCTGCTTCAGGTATAATACAAGTAGACACAAGATTTCTTTAAATTGCGTTGTACTTGGTCAGATCTGGAGCAAACAGCTTCCAGCGACGTGGTATGTCTTCTGTGGCCCGGTCCACCTCAACGCCTACAGAACAGCGCACCGGAAAATGGTCACTCCCCAAATCCTGGTCTCTGCTAAGAGATGAGCACGGAAAGAGGTCAGGTGACAAAATAAACAGAACCAAACAGCCAGTCCTGCTGTCAATGTATGTTGGGAACAATCCATCATGTCTCACACAGAGACTTGATTCATGTACTGCTCTTTCCAAATATCGTTCAGATTGGTTGCTGCGTCCGCCGTGATCCCATATTGGAGAATGTGCATTAAAGTCACCCGCAATTATGCAAGGCGGAACAACCTTGTAAAAAGAGGCTCGGAACTCTGCTTGTGATATGTTTGCATCTGGGTAATAAAAATTGCCAATGCTGACTAAACCGACTGAGGTGTGCACCTGAAGTCCCTGAAATTCCAAGTTTCCCGCCAGAATGGTAGTCTCAGGCAAATGGCAAGACTTCAAGTCTCTGCGTTCAAGGATGGTGAGACATGTCTCCTCTCTTGAGACATGTCTCACATAAGCAGACCACATTTGATTTTTGGTGGTAAAGGTAGAGTTTGAATTCTGTCAGCTTGCTCTGAGGGCCATTACAGTTGAACTGGACAATGACTTGGCACTTTTCAAGAAGTGGCGAACGGCGGATGTTCATTGAAGGAATCATTTTGAAGATTTCTTACTTTATCCTCGACCTGATGTCCTCATAGATAAACCTACTGCGGCCTGTTGTCTTTTCTTCTTATTTGGATCGCAAGCTTGTTCGGGGTTAATTTGTAGACTCTTTAGTGGTTTGCCAATGGGCCGCAGCATCAACTGATGGGTGAGAAGGATCAGGCTGTGAACCAGGCTGTCTGACAGAGCTATGAACTAGATTGACTGGGAATGCTGGTAGCCACTCATTAAGTAAATCATCACCAATGTATTGTCCAAAGTTATTTCTCAGCATACTCACCAGAAGAAGAGCTCTTTCTTTTTGCCCCTTTTTACAAAATTTCAGTAAAAAGCATCATGCAAAATTCTTCTCACCTTCATTGAGAATTCCCGGAGAGTTGATGATATCAGAGTCTCCATACTGGTTTCACTCACAATCAGTTCTTCTCTCAAAATGGCTCTAAATTCAAATGTACTAGACGGAATGCCAGGCACTGTTAAGGTTTTTCTTTGCTCATTGAACACTTCAACCATGGGCTGTGAGCTGCAGCAAGAAAGTTCTGGTGATGGCATCTGCGCAACTGGCTGAGGCACTTGTGTAGCAGGCTGAGATTTATAGTCCTGAGAACCATGGACTTGGGCAATCACCTCAACACCAGTCAATCTTGAATTTCTTCTATTGACTTGATAGCCTGTGGCTTGAGAATACTTCTGTTGTGTGGTTTGGGAGGTTCCATGCACTGATGCGGGCATAGGAGAGTTATTTCTCATACCCAGACCCTACTTTAACCGAGGTGATTTTTTTTTACTTTTTTAGCGGCATCTGCACATGTGAGACCTGAGGCACGCAGCTTTTCGACAGCTCTTGCACTATCAATGAAATCACATTCTCTAAGCTTGCAGAATGCGATCCGCCACAATTGGCACAAGACCGGACGGTGCCAAAACTGTTAGGGCATTCAGGTCCATCATGGGAACAGCACAGACAAGACATCTCCTTTCTTCTGTGCATTCACTAGCAAAGTGACCAATCCGTTGACACATAGCATTTTAGCGACGTAAAGACAAAATGCCTCACTGGAAAACGCAGAAAATCTATAAACTGCTTCTGGAATCTTCAAGCCTGCAAAAATCACTTTCACAGCCGGAGAATCCTCACGGATTTTATGATGAATGCGTGGTAGACGTGTCATCTGTAAAATTTTGGTAGACCCGACTGCGCTGACTCTTGCAGTTCTGTTATGTCTACAGATAAATGAATTGGGCCAATGACTGTAATAACAGATTTGTCAGTTCTAGGCTATGAGCATTTCACAGTCCAGTTGCAAATTCTTGTGACTTGCAAGAGAACTTTCAGGTCTGCTGCAGAGATGTTTGCGAACTCAGTAGCCATCAGATTCCTTCTTGAATTGGTGCGCACTTTCATGCTTGGGAATTTGCCATATGTAGACTCTAATGCGCTGAGCAAACTTGGCCGGATTCGTTAGGAAAGATGCTGCATTAGATCCTATCGGTTTGATTAGTATAGTATTGACTTTACCTTGACTGATCAGTTTGGCATTCATAACGGGAGAAATACGTTTGCAGCTGCTGGGACTGAGAAGTTTTTGGTTGCATGTTCCATGAGGTAGAAATTTCTTTCTAGATACCTCTTCACGTCGAGGAGTAAATGGAAGCACAAGACTACGTTCGTAAGCTTCGTTATTGATTTCAGACACAAGCTTCTTTGGTAGGTTGAATGCTTCATTGTCTTTATCGATGCTGACAGATGGAACAAACTCGAGAGCGCGTTTTCTGCCCCCAGATACTTCGGGGAATTTTTCGCTATCAAAAGATGGATCAATGACTGAGGTGATGTTTGAGGCATAGAGTTCTTCATTTGCAGAAAGATCAGTAAAATATAAGACCTCTGCGCTCGAGGTGATCAGAAGCGGGTCCAGCCCTGCCTTACCTGACATAGCAGAATACGAAAATGGACGGCGTTGAATTAAACAAAGAAGACGAAACCTCAAATTGATGTATACATTTCTACGAACAAGGCAACAACAATAACAGGGGGAAAAGCAAGAAAAAATAAAAGAAGACAAAAAACTGGTAAGCCCATGTGGGAGAAAGCCAGTTGGGTTTTTCTAAAGAAAATGAGTTTATAACTATGAAGAATCACCCTAAAGATTTTAAAGACTGCAAGTTGATATGAGATCTTTAAATCCAAAATCAACCGGTTATATCAAGGAACGCTAATCAAACATGTGCTTTCACTTCCAATGCAACTGACCCTCTCCGCCTGACTTGTGCATCACACCTATCACCCTAGCCATTAACTGTTTCAAAGAATTCCTTTTTTCCTTTGTAAAGTAACTAAATATGGCGGTCGTTTTCAGACTTACGTGTATCGAAAGCCGACATTTACCAGCTTGAGTGTGAGCTTCTTTAGCTTCAGTTCGTTTCGTTTTAAATTGAATAGCCCTCAAACCTTGATATACCGCGGCTATGGGGTTGTTCCACCTTCCATGATATGCATTCGGAATTCGAATTCATTCGTAATATATTTCAGCTTAATGGTTTTCCATCGTGCCTTGTGTATAGTAAAATCAAACGCTTCTTATCTAACAAATTTTCTGAAACTGTGACTGAATGCGCTAGTAAGGAAACTATTTATTGCACATTGCCCTATTTTGGTAATGCGTCTGAAGCTATGTCCAGAGAATTATAGATTTATTTATGAAATATTTCCCGAATGTTAATTTGTATGTTTTGCTGGTAAATAATATAAAAGTTGGTTCTTTCTTCAGGTATAAAGACATTATTCCTGCCCGGATACGATCGAACCTGGTCTATGAGTATAGTTGTGCAAGCTGCGCATCGGCGTACGTTGGATAGGCGTCGCGAAACTTCTACATCCGGGCTTTTGAACTTCGCGGCAGGAGCTATTATTCGAACTTGCTTATCGACAAGCCTCCTTATTCTTCCGTGCACCTCCATGCTGAACAGCGCGACGTGGCTGTATCAGAGGGTGATTTCAGGATACTCGGTTCCGTCTCTGGCAGTTCGGATTTGGGGATTTTGGAGTCACTACATATCTTCAAACGAAAACCGTGTATCAATACTGCGTTCAGTTCCTATTCTCTTGAAATAGTGAATCGCTAGGCTTTTGGGTTCTAGTTTTTTTCTTAGCTATTAATCTTTTCGTGTCTCCTATGACTCGTTCCACGAATTCTTGTTTTAGATTTCAGGTTGTTCTGTGTTTTATGTCTTTTTTAGGTTTTATTGTCCGATTTAGAATTTTGAATTATAAAATGATTGTATTCATTTTGATAGTCAAATAGATGATGAAGCTAAATTAATCGAGTGTACATTCATCATTGTTTTTTATCCTCCTTGTATAAGGTTCTGCTCGGTGACGCAGCGCCCCTGACACCTGGAAACTTCAGCAACTTCGTCGTCGTAGGCACCATCAAGGGGCCTGTGCCGTGGGTGCCGAATTGGATCGAGTTCGTCCTACCACAGCCGCGATGCACCCGCTACGTGACCATCTACAAATACGTCTCTAACACAGGCGAAGGGGCTTTTTTGGAAGTCATCGAGCTGGAAGTTTGGACAAACGAGGAGGCTTGAAAAAAACACTTGACGCTTTGTCATGGAAATATATAAACTAGTATTTTGTTGTAAGTGTTAGTTTCACATTTAGAAGTGCAGAGTTAAGTCCTTTCACGGCCGAAATAGTCGTTATCATGTGTGACTACACCGTTGTGTCCGGCTGCGTTTCAATTTAGTTGAGTATTTTTTCACAGTCCTTGCCATTTAAAGATTATTCTCACTTACAGGTTATTCTCTCAGCTTGTTATTTACCTTTGTTATATTCTCTCGAGTTATTTAACGTTATTAGTGACGCTATTGGAGATGTATTATTAATTCTAGAACATTTATTTATTTATTGTGTCATTTAGAAGAGTGGGAATAAAAGAGTATGGAGAGGAAAACCAGGGCCTATACTTTCAAAAAAAGTTAAGAGATCGTAAGTTCATCAGCCAATCATTGACGGCCTTTCAAGCAAAATTCACCAAATAGAGCCTAAGTACTTACGTTCACTTAGCGAGTTTTGAAAGTATGGCCCCAGAACTACTTCCCTTTTAAGCTTTTTTGAGTTTCGTGGAACGTCTACTCGGTATATCTGAAGAATATAGGTGATCTTATCAGTGCCGTGTGTTGCACCGTGTAAATGAGCGAGTCATTGTACAAAAACCGATATCATTTTATTTGGCGCTAAAAACGAGAACAGAGAACGTTGCACTGCTGCTACCATTTACTTCGCACAAACTAAGTCAGGATGACCCACAACAGAAAAAAATTGTAGAGAATATTGCATCTTTTCCTTTGAAAATGATATTTGTAAATTTCTAAGTATATAATGGAGAAAGAAATAGGTAAACGTCTTCAACGAATCGTTCCCTCGTCTTGAACATATTAGTAGCTCATTGATATATCTACAAGCTCCCAATCGATCATGACAATCCCATCGCTTCTGCAGTTGTCACGGACAATTCTAAAGGCCAGTCCAGACGCTACGTTTTGCACCACCATTTGTCCGCATAGTTCGACACGTTGCAGATAAAACTAGAAATTTAAAAGCGAAGAAAACACCACTAAAATTTAGCATATCTTTTTTGAAAACGTTTCGGAGACCAGCTCCATCGTCAGTTCGATAAATCTAGAACACAGATAAATGCAGAAAATTAGTTTGGAGTTAATAAAAAAATTAAAGTTAATAAAAAGTTAGAGTTAAAGTTAATAAAAATTAGAGTTAATAAAAATTTCTAGTGAATCTGCGAATAAAGCAATCTAGTGACTTTTTTACTTGTTGCAGATTAAACGTTGTGTGTGGACTGCAAACTGAGCAGTTTTGAGTCCGTCGGGAAGACTGCACATTGGAGGCGATAACTGAAAGGGGTACTATAGCACCCCGTGTAAATAATGGCCTCGACCTTATATTAAAATATAATGAAAGAATACATGATCGTTCATTTCATCCCAACTCTACACATTAGAAGAGTATAAATTCATTTCACCTGCAAGTTTACATCGGAATGACGTGTGTGAAAGTTTCGGTAACTTCTGCAAACGAGCAGCTGTTGCCTAATTAAAATCATGAGGGATCCGATCGAACCCAAGGGTATAACCAAAGTAAAAATTGATGCTAAAAAATCTCGCTGTAAAAAACAATACATTGTACAACAATACACACTAAAGGTATAAAGTATCTAAGTAGGGCCTCGATGAAGGATAGAAGTGTTCTATTTGGCAAAGAGCATCCATGGCCAGCGAAGGCCTTCCAGTTAATACGCGTGCATTTTCGATGTCATGGACGAATTTTAATTTGCTAATTTAATTCACAAAAGTATTAACATCTAACACAAGATAAGCTTGCAACGATTTACCGCTGCTGCCACACGTCACTCACGTGGATCTAGTGACCAACCGTCAAATTTGATCAGAATATAATAGAGTAAAATAATATGCGTTTAAAAGTTATTTTTTAAAGACAACACTTCTAAAGAGGCCAATGTTTCTGATGCTGCACATGTTCAATGAATTTCTCATTTTATTTTTTCAAATAGATGAAAAAATTATTATTCAATTTTTTTAATAATGAACAAAATTTTTTAATCTTTCAAATTATTTATTCTGTCAATTGTTTCATTCATTGTCTCCGCCCTTTATACGCAAGTGTGCAAAATTTAAAATTGCTTGGACAGGTAAAAGTGGGTTTAATATCGAATATAAGATTTGTAGCAGACAGATAAACAAACAACAAGAACTGAAGTTAAAGAGAAGTGTTGTAATAAGATAATGACGCTAAAGCTACTACACATAGGCTGCTAATATGCAAAAAATATAACTCAGTAATCACTGCAGTGAGTGACAGAGAGCGCATTTTCTCGTCGACGAAAACTTGAAGTCATGGACGAACGGACGGACGGACGGACATGGCGAGCACAATAGTGCATTTTTTCCATAAATGAGAAAATGCGCTAAAAACAATACGCGGTGCCCATTAGGAAGTTCAGGAAAACCTGTTTTAGCCTTGGAATTTACCGAGGATAAATCATTGAATTAGTTCATATCAAATATCTTTAGAATTGCTAAGCAGTTGGTGTTCCTTCCATAGAACAATATCTATTTATCGATAATATTCTTCATTTAATGTGAATATAGAATTTGAAGTAGCAAAACTTGCCTATGATTCATCACGAATTCATTGAATATTAATGGCAAATTTTAGTTGAGAGCGAGGACCGATTTTTAGTTGACCTTGATTCACAGTTAACAAGACAAAGAAAGCATTTTTTCTAATGGTTCTAAATATATTTTAACGATGTTATTTTATTACAACAAAGTCAGCAGCGAAGGAGGTTGCGGTTAGTTGTAATTGTGTAGTGAAATATGCACAAGTTTTTTGTATCGAATTTCGTTTCAGAAGCAATTTCGAAATGCTATAATAATAAACCAAGTTGGTTGGTTTAGGTATGATTAGTTGTTAGCTTTATTTTATTTACTTCGTGTTTTAGCGCATATAGTGCATTTTTTCCATAAATGAGAAAATGCGCTAAAAATGCACTATTGTGTTCGCCATGTCCGTCCGTCCGTCCGTGACTTCAAGTTTTCGTCGACGAGAAAATGCGCTCTCTGTCACTCACTGCAGTGAGTACTGAGTTATATTTTTTTTGTTGCTGCTGTTGCTGTTTTCTTTGTTTTGGGTAGCTAGCAGCTTCCTTCCGTGGTGCGCCTGACGGCTGCCGTTCGAGGCCACTTTTAGAGCGTCTCCCAACAGCACTTCATAAACGCGTGTGACTTGATCAGCATCCTTGCGTTCACGTGCCGTTCATTTTACGGGATTAAACGACTTATCAAGGGTGTGGAAGAGTTGTGCTAAACGGGTACTATTCTATTCTGGTATTAATCCACTATTAGCCATTAGATAGTTAATTTAATATATAAATTCCACATCCACATTGTACTAAACGCTGCGAGATGTCGTTGTTATTATTGTTAGAATAGAAGTGTCGGCGCTGAAGAAATAGGCCCATGGCCTGTTGCATGTGATTTGAACTAAATATTGATTTGAGAATATTTCAATATGGCAAGACCCTCTATTATTAACTTTACATTATCAAAAATGAAATATTTTCTTAATATGTGATATGGTGATATGGCTGCTTGTATTGGATGAGAGTTGCACATAATTTTAGAGTTACGTAAGCCATGAAAACGTTTTCTATGCTCCCGTAAAAAAATTTTTAGGGTAAACGCTTTTATTTCAGGAAATTAGCTCATTTTACTTACCGCACCCTTGGAGAATCGTGTTCAAAAATGAAATAAAGACACATGCACGTTGATCTTGCGTCCACTTGAGTGACTACTATGCTGTGTGTAATAATTGTATGTGTTGTACAATCAATGCAATATGAGAAGCAAATTTGCTTGCTGTGACAATGGCGACAGCCGACAGGCACTATCTTAACTGCCCGTTTAAATTTAGAATTTTAATTCAGATTATTTACGAGCCATTAGTGCAATCCTATCGAAATTGCATTTAAAATCTGGAATTTGAATGTTATTAAATTAGTTAGGTTATCATAAACAAATCATGTTAAAGAAGGAACAGTCAGCAGATAGATCCATTATGTTATAGAATATCCTTCAGTGCCGACAATTCTATTCTATTCTATTCTATTCTATTCTATTCTATTCTATTCTATTCTATTCTATTCTATTCTATTCTATTCTATTCTATTCTATTCTATTTCTGCTTTTTACTCTCATCGTGATGACAATGAACATATAAAAAATGTAGCTCAGTACTCACTGCAGTGAGTGACAGAGAGCGCATTTTCTCGTCGACGAAAACGTGAAGTCACGGACGGACAGACAGACGGACAAACGGACGGACGGACATGACGAGCACAATAGTGCATTTTTTCCATAAATGGGAAAATGCGATTAAAATAATAAATACTTACTTAATATGTTCTGCCACCGCCTCAGTGGAGCGGGTTTGAAGCGTCATCAACAGCACTTCATAAGAACGGTGGCCATGATCCATGAGCGCCAGCAGTGGATGGCTTTATGTCAGTGGCTCTCAAAATGGTCGGTATCGCCCCCTGGGGGCGATGGAAAGATCTGGGACATTTATTATCAATTTAAGGAAGAAGGGGGCGGTATGGGAGCAGCAGTCAGAAGTTCGAACGTTTGTTTGACGATTTGTACACAACAGGTGCAGCACATGACAGAAGACTCCAGCGATGGGTTTTTCCATCCAGATCTGTGTTTTTTAACCTCACCTGGGTTTACGTCTCGGACAAATTTACGGCCGGTCTCACGGCCAATTCAAAAATTCAACGAAAAACTAATATCTCCCAAAGTAATTAACTCACTCGCACAACTCGATGACACTTGGTACACGTATTCATTAGGACCTAACGGTGATGTTTAGATCGTGAGTACTTTTTCGAATTTCGCCTTCATTCGTGAGTTACCGTATATGACTTATATGGCGATACGGGCCGAAATTCGCAGTGATCAAGGAATTTCTTCCACACTATTGGACAGATAAGTGCTAAGTGCTGCATTCAGGCGCTGCGTGCTGCATTCAGGCGCTGCGTGCTGCATTCAGGCGCTGCGTGCTGCATTCAGGCGCCGCGTGCTGCATTCGGGCGCTGCGTGCTGCATTCAGGCGCTGCGTGCTGCATTCAAGCGCTGCGTGCTGCATTCAGGCGCTGCGTGCTGCATTCAGGCGCTGCGTGCTGCATTCAGGCGCTGAGTGCTGCATTCAGGCGCTGAGTGCTGCATTCAGGCGCTGAGTGCTGCATTCAGGCGCTGAGTGCTGCATTCAGGCGCTGCGTGCTGCATTCAGGCGCTGAATGCTGCATTCAGGCGCTGAATGATCGGTCAGGTAACTTTAAGTCGCAGTTTTTTTGTGCCGCTGAATATCAAAGT